CCTAAACCCTAAACCCCTAAACCTAAACCCTAAACCCTAAACCCTAAGCCCTAGGCCCTAAACCTAAACCCTAAGCCTAGACCCTAAACCCTAGGCCTAGGCCTAAGCCCTAGGCCTAGGCCTAGGCCCTAGGCCTAGGCCCTAGGCCCTAGGCCTAGGCCTAGGCCTAGGCCTAGGCCTAGGCCTAGGCCTAGGCCCTAGGCCTAGGCCTGGGCCTAGGCCTAGGCCTAGGCCTGGGCCTAGGCCTGGGCCTGGGCCCTGGGCCTAGGCCTAGGCCTAGGCCTAGGCCTAGGCCTAGGCCCTAGGCCTGAGGCCTAGGCCTAGGCCTAGGGCCTAGGCCTAAACCCTAAACCCTACTCCCTAAACCCTAAACCCTACACCCTAAACTTCATTCACTTAAACTCAGTGTGAAGATCAAGATCAAGGACGCATGTCACAAGGAACAGACAATAACAATTTAAGCGCTTAATTGAGGCTGTAACGGGGCACCCTGAAGCTTGTACTGGTGACAGTACAAGCTACTTATTCTGATAACAGAATAAGGCGGTGCCTCGTAACTTCACGTACACTCGTACGTGCAGAGGAAGACGGTAAGAAGAAGCGAGTACTCGGTTAGAGTAAAAAGTAGAACTGTATTTATAATAGTTAATGTCTGCAATAAATCACTATTTATCTTCATCTAACTATGTCTAAATACAAATGTGTAAATCAGTTATCTGCTCACCACTCATTGCGTGCGTCTGTCGTGGCGCGTCTTCGTTGGTTGATATAATGGCCTATATCAACCAATTAGGAACTACTTGGAAGTGCTACCGAATATTGTCCTTATGACAATATTCTGAGAATATAACTCTTATAGTTATATTCTATTAACAATTTCTTATAAATTGTTATGTAACGATTCACCCCGTTACATCACCCCCCTTAACCATCAGTCACTTTAGTGACTGATTGACTAAATGGATACTCGTCCCAAATCATTTGGGACGGGGTTTGCACTTGTTGGTCCGCGTCCACTTTCCAACATCTCATCGCATGGTAAACAAGCCCATGCGATGCGCGAGCAAGGCCGCCGAGAGCGCGTCTGCACGTCTTTGTGCGGACGCCGAAGCAGAAACTACAGCAACTGATGTCCCATCGGTTGCTGAATCGACTCAGCCTGTATCACCTGGTGATGCAGGCGCTGGTCATGAAGACACTCGTGTCTTCACAGAGTACGAGCTCGGTGTCTCGTACTCTCCTGATACGGATGACGGATCCGTATCGACGGCAATTGAATCCAAGCCGCCTGCCAAGCGTGGCATGGACGATGCTTTGCGTCGCAGCATCTTTGGTTCATCTGATGAGTCAGATGAACCATCGCCAACGAAGGCGCTCGAGGTCGCGAGACTCGGGCGCTAATAGTGGTGTCGTTTCTCCAATGGACACCACTTCACAGCGAGTGCCAGTACTTCTGTCGGCACGTCGCAGGAAGAGCGGGACCGCAATGTGTTGCGTCTCGCTCCAGAAAAGAAGGCATGGATGCCTCCTAAATCCGTCATGGATCACTTGTCGGCGACGACGAGTGATCGTTATCGAACACGATTGTTCGATTCGTCAGAGATTCATCACCTTGACCCCAGCGCGAAAGACTATCGCGCTGAACATGAAGTTCTTCATCGATGCTTTCTTCAGACATCGATGGTACAGTGGGAATCACAAACGTGATGGTCCCTCACTACTTCAGGCGTGGAACGCCTACATCCATAATCTCGAGGATGTAGGTCGTGACGCTTGGAACGACAAACTTATCAAAGCTCGTGATAAGTTTGAAAAGCGAACCCCGACAGGTGCACGCTACAAGCTGCATCGTCTGTCAAGGGAGAAAGGATTACCCTGCCTCTCTTGGGGAGACTCGTGCCCATGTTGTGTGAACAACTCTGCACGAGCACCTAAGGAGGCTTACCTCCTTAATAGCCCGTGGTGGCGCGTACGTGTCTCTACTGAGATGTACGAAGGGATTGACAACCTGAAATCCCTTTACGACCGTGCCGGGAAGACTTTCTCCGGCGGTCCTTCTGCGGCACAGGATGTGCCGCGTCGTACTGCTCGACCAGACCCAGTACGTCAACCATCAATTGGGAGCGGGGCTCCCAAGAATCCCAGGACGGGGGATAGCCGCGCCACCGGACGAGGTAACTCGTCCGACGTCCGTTCACGTCGCGGTGGTTCAACAGCTGCTCTACTAGATAGCGCTGGCCACCGCGAGAGTCCTCTAATGGAGGTGGAGGAGGAGGAAAGACGCTCTCCACACGATCATGTGGATCGGTGTGTTCCCGAGAGCTTCTTTGATCGCGTAACGCAAGGGTTACGCGACGATCTCGAGCATGAGCGGAATAGGCGTCTCCAGATGGTGGACACTGCCTCGAAGCATCGAGCTGAGTTTGCCTTTGCTCAGCTTGAGAACGAGAGATCTCTGACATCTCTTCGTGACGAGCTAAGGGTAGCTCGTGGGATTGTTGATCGGTCTCGGGCTGAGATAACTGCTCTTCAGACCCTTGTTGATGCCCACCATCGGGAGCACAAGGCTCTCTGCGAGATGCTTGAGCGCAAGGGCGTTCTTCATCGGAAGAAGCAGCGTACTGATGGTACGGCTTAAGCCGACCAACGTAAAACGTGGGATGCGTTCGCATCTTACGTGGTAACTCGATCGTGTATGCATTGCCTAGGCGGTGCAATACACGAAATGAGCCAATGTACTTGGGTAGTAGTTTACTGCTACCCAAGTTAGTCACTACATGTTTTGGTAGATTAACCGTAGACAGTAGGACTAAGTCACCTTTATTAAATAAAAGAGTGTTTGCCCTTCCATTCTTGTCAGCGTTTTGCTTTTGCTTATCCACCGCTTCGGCGATGGAGTCTTGCACAAAACGGACTACCGTTTCACGAGCCAGTATGAACTCATCTGATGACTCGTTAGCTTCAGTGTGCTGTGAGCGCACTGCAGCAACAACAACCTTTTCTTCAGTGAGGGCTTCCGCACTCTCACTGGCATCATTGTCTTCAGTGAGGGCTTCCGCACTCTCACTGGCATCATCTTCTTCGATATCGATGTTATCGATATCGGCATCAAACGCAATGACTTCTTCGTCAGAGCGTGATGAGCGTGAACCAAATCGGTTTTTGCTCGCGCGAGTCCCTCCCCCCCTTAAACCAGAGTTACACTCTAGTAAGGTGGGTACACGCGGATGGCGCAAGCCATTCACGTAAAACGGTGTATGCGTCGTGGACGCATGCACCGAGTTGTTGATGGCAAACTCTACCATTGGCAAAAACTCACTCCAACTTTTAAAGGAGTGTACGTATCCTCGAAGTATCTCTTCGAGGACACGGTTGGCACGTTCCGTCTGACCATCTGACTCTGGATGATCAGATGTTGACATCTTCAAGCGCGTTCCGAGTGATTTGAACACGGAACGCCAGAAATCAGCAGTGAATCGTGGATCTCTGTCTGATACGAGTTCACGGGGCAACCCATGAAGTCGGAAGATGGTGTCAATAAAGACACAAGCACAGCCACTTGCCGTGATTGTCTCTGGTACAGCCACAAGGTGTACCATTTTGCTGAATCTGTCAACAAATACGAGAATACCCGTATTCCCGCGTGCGTCTTTGGGTAACCCGAAGACGAAATCCATTGAGATGGATTCCCAGCACTCAGCCGGAACCGGTAGAGGCTGTAAAGGTGCACGCAGTGAAGGACTTGACTTCACTCGTTGGCAGACTTCGCATGCGCGAACATACTTTCGCACAAACTGATACTGGCGGGGCCAGTAAAAGTCTCGACTTACCGTGAGATATGTTTTCTCTCGGCCACGATGTCCTCCTATAGGAGCATCGTGATACTCGAACATGATCCGCAAACGCAGATCAGTATCATCTGGAATGACAACACGTGGTGTGTCACCAGAAACGGCTGTATAGTACAGTAAACCGTTACGAGTAGTGTATCGATCTGATGCAGATCGATACGCAGACGACAATCGTTTCAACGATTCTCGAGATGGTTGGGAGAGATGTGACAACAACTTCACTATCTCACCATCTTGGGCGTATGCCCGCCTCACATCATCATACAACGTTGTAGATGGAACTGAGGACGTCATAACCGCAACAGTGACTGTCTCACTGTTGGGTTTCGCGACTGTTTCAAAGTCGGGACGACGTGAGAGTGCATCAGCGACGACATTAAGTCGTCCTGGTTTGTACTCGACCGTAAAGTTGTATTCTGCAAAGAATGACAACCACCGCGCCATTCGTTGTGTGTGCGGGCTGTTCACTGCCGTGCGTAAGGACGCATGGTCAGTGTAAACAACGAAGGGTCTATCTCCTAATAGATAGACTCTGAACTTCGCGAGTGCATACTTCATGGCAAGGAGTTCCTTGTCATGCACTGGATAGTTCCGCTCAGCTGGTTGCAGCTGACGCGACTGATAGCAGACGACGCGTTCAACGCCTTCAAGGTCGTACTGCATTAATGCACAGCCGATTGCGAAATCACTGGCATCACAGACCACATGAAATGGCCTGTCCTGATCGGCTATTGCTAGGACTGGGGATTGTATCAAGCTCTGCTTGATACCCTCAAAGGGCGTTGACATTCAGCGTTCCATAACCACCTCTCGTTCTTTTTCAACAAACGAGAGAGGTGTACAGTCATCTCGGCGTAATTGCGTGAATACTTATGCAAATACGCCGCTAATAAGGAATTTTCGAAGACCTTTGACATCGACCGGCACGGGCCAGTCGGTGATCGCCTTGATCTTTTCGGGATCAGGACGTACACCGTTCTTACCAACGATGCACCCAAGAAGTGGTATTTCGCTTGCTGCAAATATACACTTCTTGAGGTTTACATACAATTGATGCTTTCGCATGATTGTAAGAACTTGTCGGACGTGGTACTTGTGAACCTCAACGTCCGACTTTCCATCCATAGCTCGACTATGGATGAATACGTCATCGAAATAACTCGGCGCGAATTCTCGTACTGGCCTCAACAGATGTGATACACACCTGTTGAACGTGGCAGGGGCATTACTGAGCCCTTGTGGCATTACTAGCCATTCCCAGAGCATGCCGCTAGGCGTGCTAACTGCGGTATAGGGTATATCCCGTTCCCGCATTAGGATTTGATAGAAGCCATCCATCAAATCCATGGACGAAAAGATGGTACTCTTTGACATACCATCAATGATTACGTCCTTCCTCGGTATCGGCGTCTGAGCCGGTACCGTTGCAGCGTTCAATTTGTTGAACGCGTGCACTATCCGCCACCCTCCTGTTGCTTTTCGCACACAGAAGGTCGGAGAGCTATGTGGGGAAGTTGATTCCCTCACATGGCCCGCTGCTAAACGATCGGCAAAGAACTTGTCGATCGCAAGTACTGTTCACGAGGCAGTGGCCACTGCTTCATGACACAGTACTTCGAGCCTGGTTTAAGCTCGACTTCGTGTCGAATACCTTTATCCTTCGGTAATTCGCACGGAACAGTTTCAGGGAATACATCCTTGAATTCAACCAAATCCTCATAGAGAGGGTTTTCCTTGAGCGATTCCCATGATTGGGACTCATATCGCTCAATTCGTGTCTTTTCATCTAGGACACTCTCGTCCATAGATGAACTACTGAAAACTCTCTCGTTCTCAGTAAACACTGTTGCTGACCTTATGTCGGTTACACACTCGTCGTCAGCGACGAGTATGCAGATCTGCTTGACTTTGCCACTACGCAGATCACGCAAGAACCTTTTATGTTCGAGCGTTGGCAACTGAGTGATCTCCGAAGTTAACTTCGGAGGCGCAATCAGATCAAGTGTATAAGCGCCTACACATGATCCGTTATTGACTATGACATTCAATGTCTCTGTCATTTCCTGGGGACTTATTCCCTCAGGCTTCGAAGGACTTATTCCTTCGTCTTCCCGGGGACTTATTCCCGCGGGTTTCGGGGAACTTATTTCCGCCGTATTTGTAATCTTGGGACTTATTCCCTTTACTTCCTCTAGCTGGGGTTGCGCAACCACAGCGAGATCCTCTACGAAAGACTCTCCAGTCGATCTAGGATTATCGTTTCGCTTAACCTGAGCGATCGATTGTTTCTCTTCTAGATGTTCCCCTCTAGGGATACATCTTTGTCCCAGTCCACCCGACTTATTCGAGTGGTGGACCTTCGGCGCAGCCTGTGTTTCCTCACAGCCGCCGGAACTTTGCTCCGAAGTGTAACCGTTTGGTACACTAAGGTTTTGTGCAGTCGTACTAACGACCGTACCACAAGTGAGGCCATCGCACTCACTCGTAGTACATCCACACGCTTGTGGACGCTCCAAAACGTTCATCAGATGGCCATCTGATGAACAAGCGGCAGGCATCGTTACTGTCCGATGTTGCCAGTTTACCCGTGGTTCGTACCTTCTGAGCCACGGTATTCCAGGATGACATCAAATTTGTCATCCAAATCCAATACGATAAAGTCATCGTCGTATTGGGTATCTTCTAGCGTATAGTGAATCTTCACTATACGCTTCATGATTGATTACGGATGCGCCTGTCGCAAGACGTACCGTCATCCTCGTAGGAGGTGTGTCACATTCACTGAATTTAAAGTGACCATCTTCTAGCGATTGGCGTCGCACAAAATTGTTGGACGCCCCACAATCGACTAGAGCTCGAAGGGACAACTTATTCGTCACTTCGAGTTTCAAGGTAATGAGTGAGATCTCATTACCTAGAGCAGCAACGCACAATGTCTGTGTGTTGGGAGCAACCTTCATCAAGAGGCCTACAAATTCTCTTGACGTTGCTGGATCAGTAGGGTGCTCCGCACCTACTGATCCTGTCCGTTTTTTGACGGTCCATCCCGTTGTTGCGTCTTTGCACCAACTGCGGACCCTCGTCCCTGCCCCTTTCTCATGGGTGGACGGTCACTACGCCCAGTGTCGCGAGACACTGGACGAGAGGCACTACACTCGTAAGCGTAGTGTCCTGTCTTTTGACATCTGTTGCATCTCTGCAACTTCTTGTAGCCTGTAGAGCGAGCCTTCTCGCTCTCTACATAACAGAGTTCCATCGGCTCTGGACCTCCGTTGTCATATCGTCTCGGTTGACGATATGATGTCGAGCTGGCGCGAGCCTGTCTCAGACTGAAGTCTTCCTGCTCCGCAATTGAAATGGCTTGTTCTAGTGAATCTAGTTCAAGCCGGAACAGGTGAGTCTTGACGGGACCATCCGCAAGACCCTGCATGAACACCGAAACCAACGTGTGTTCATCCACCGGATTGGAACTTATACAACTCGTGAGATGTCGTATATGTTGAGCGTAAGCGTGCACATCACGCTTACCCTGCTTGAGCTTCAAGAGTTCGGTTCGAGCCCTGAACTCAGCTCTAGGCGGTTCAAACGTTTGTCTGAGCCGCGACTTGAAGACTTCCAACGACCCAAACGCATATGGGTCGTGCAGCTTGATCCCCAGTGCCCAAGTCTTGGTACGTCCTGCCAGATTTGACTGGGCAAATGCAACTTGCATATCCCCGTCGTCGATGCGACGCGCCCTTATGGCGTCATCCAATTCGACGAACCATCTCAAGAGGGAGTCTTCTTC